GGCCTCAGACACCTCACTCACTGATCTGGCACCTTGTGACTTTAGGCTCTTCTCCAAATTCAAAATGACCATGAAAGGCAAATGTCTGGAATCCATTCAGGACATTGAGGCAGTCACAATAGCTCAATTAAAGACACTCAAAAAAGGGGACTTCCAGAGCTGCTTCCAAAAGTGGCAGGAATGGTAGGTAACTGTGTCTGAAGTGAGGAAGAATATTTTGAGGGTGATTAGTGGCAGTGTGTCTATTACTGTAATTTGAGGGGGCTACCGGGGATTGAACTCAAGACCTTGGCTTGAAAGGCTGGCATTGGTACCACTAAGCTAAATCCTCAGCCTTATAGTAATTTTTTGCAACTTAGACATTTACCATTTTTTATTACACTTTGTAATCCTCACTTATTAGTCTTACTGTTTTAGGCTTTGGGTATTTGTTTTATACTTTCTGTTTTGATGAATGATGTTTAAAAACTAGTATTGTTTCCTAGAATGTTGTTGTCTTTTTTTTGGGGGGGTGGGGGTTGAGACAGGGTCTCACTATGTAGTTGAGACTGACCTGGAGCTCACTATGTAGCCCTGGCTGGTCTCGAACTCACAGCGATCCTCCTGCCTCAGCCTCCCAAGTGCTAGGATTACAGGTGTGCGCCACCATGCCCGGCCATGTTGTCATTCTTTAGTAACAATATAACCTATTTTCTCATACTCCGCCTATGAGTAAGTGCTCTGTTCCCCAAAATATCATTCGCACATGTCCTGGCTAATACAAGAAAGAACTTAAATACCGATCTGAGACACCCTCTCTAGTTTGTCTTCTCTTAGTCTGTTTGGCATTCTCCTCCAAGTTCCACAGTGTGAGTCTTAGTGCAGCACATACCGTACTGTGGGAAATGGTTGCTGTATCTGTCTATACTGTACACTACAAGCTCCATCGTGACAAGACTCTGCATTCCCAGCGTCTAATGTTGGGTCTGGTAAAAGCGTAAACAATTTAATAGATGAGTAGTGCTAGAGTCATACTCGGTCAAAACTTTGAAACCACTTTGCTACGGGAAAAGTACCTTTGTTACAGGCTGAAACTTTATAAACTAGAATGACCTCTCTTTTGTAGTGACTTGCCTGCTCCTCTCAAGAAATCTCCCAAAGTTCCTGGGATCATAAGATTTTGAGGAAGTGAAGCATTATAAGAATGACTCCCCTGTACTGTTTTTTGTCTTCCTTGACATTTACATCCTGTATGTGATCAGAAATCTGTAAATGAACTGTTCATGATAATGAGTACAGTACTGATTGAACACCTTTCTCAAAGAAGGTCGCCGTGCTTTACATACATTATCTAAGTTGTCTTTAGAGCACATTTGTATCACAGTGACCACCCATTCAGAATTCATCAGTGTGTGATAACACAGGTCTCTGAAGTAGATCTGCACCCCAGCTCAGGCCTGATGAAGACCAAAAGAGAGTTTGAGCGTATAGTCACAGCAGGTACTTTACCGCTACTATTACTGCCCTGAGCCTTCTAGATAGTCTTAGGTCAGAAACTGAGCAGCTGTAAGAAAAAAAAGAGTGAAGTCTTGTTATAGTCATAAAGTTATAGAGGTAAAGTATTACAGGACATTAGAAAAAGGAAAGGTTACTTTCAGCTAACAAGATATTGCCTACCTCTTCAAACAAGTGTTTGTGTCAACCCTTCAGTGAGTGAAACTGCAGTTCTTAATTGAAGACCCACATGACCCAGTCCCATGTTGGACATTTTGTGGAGAAGCAGTGTGATATAAGGGAGTCATCACTGGATTAAGAAAAGGGAGATTAGCTTTCTGATCCCAACTCTGTCGTTAGCCAGCTGTGTGTCCTTAGTCGAGCCATGTATTCCCTCCAGACCTATAAACTGAGAGCACTGGAGTATGATTTCTAGAGCCCTTTTTCATATTTAGTGTAGAATGATGCGTCCTTTGTTGCTCCTGGATTTACTCTTCCAGTCAGCTGTGTACTTCACAGAGAAACTCATATGCTCATATCTTCTGCCTGTGCTCTTTTTCTGATGTTTGTCAGCAGCTTTTTTTTTAGTGTTTGCATAACCACCAAAATGGACTGTTACCTCTGGAGCTAAGGGCAACAGCCATACTCATTTCATTTTTGTGTCCCGTAGGTAACATGGATGCACTTGCCTCCTCTTTCCTATATATTTAATCTGTGAATTTCATCTGCCTCTTTAGTCACATAACTCTAACAGAGAGACGCCGCCTACCACGCTGTGTTTCCACCTTCCGGTGATCTTAGAGTATCCCCCTGCGTGGTTCCCTCACTCCCTTGCAATCTGGAGTTCTGGCCCCAATACCCCACAGGAACTGCTCTGATAAACCCCCTAGAGAATGTTCTTGCTTGCCAGATTCAAAAAGACACTTTGGCATTTTCATCACAGCTTCTAGCAGCACCTGCTCTGACCATCCTGTAGTTCTGGAAATTCCCAGCCTCTTGCTTCTGTGGAACTATTCGCTCCTGATTCTGCCCCTTTGCACGGTCCTCTGTGGACACGCTTTTCTTCATCTTCTCCGTGGTTCTGTCATCAGCTCTAGTTTCCTTTCACTCTCACCTGTCTCTCATGGCTTCACTGATGCCCGAGGCTTCCTCTGTCGCCTCCCACAGTAGGCTCCAGAGCCTGGCTCCTGTCTCAAGCTTCAGCCCCGCATTTCCGGCTATTCTCCACATCACACTCACTTCGAATTCGGCACGTCCGGACCTGCGCAGTCAGCCCCCTCCAGTATCACTTGTTCTATTTCCTGTTTGGGCGGTGCTTCCCACCATTCATCGGGTCCAGTCCTGGAGTTCTCCTCCCTCATCCCACATCACCAGGAGCCACCGAAGTTTGCGCCTTTACCAGTACACCTGCACTGTTTCCGGTAGCCTCCTAGTTATTCTTCCCGCCTCCTGTGTGTCTTCTGTAATCCATCCTCCATGTTTAGCCAAGGAGGCCTTCCTAGACTAAAAGTGTGGTGTTTTTGCCTTTGCTTCCTAAGTATTTATACCATGAACTTCTGACGGAGTTGCAATTGCTTGGCTCTCAGACCCTCTGATACTTGCACGGTGACCACCTCCGCTTCCCTTTCGCGTTGTTTTTCTCACATCCACGATGCGCTCCCGAGGGGAAGAACTGTAGTCTCCCTCGTGGTATCCTGTGAGTCTCATGTGTCCTTCCTTTTCCGGTGCCATGTCCAAGAACTGAAGCTGTAGCGCTCTTGCTAGGAAACCTTGCCTTCCTCACCAGGCAGAGCAGAAGGCCTGCGCCCCGGCTCCCACAGGCTTTGTCTTGCCCCTCCCTGCCGCTCGCCATGTTGCTCGGCTGCCTGTTGGCAGCAGCGTCTCCCCACACACAGTGAGCACCGGAAAGGGAGGCCCTTCCTCAGCTGGCCGCAGTTCCCAGGCCTCAGCCTAGAAGACACGTGATAGCTGCTGATTTCCCGTGTTTGCTGAATGGACAGACAGATGCGTGCTGACGTCTAGAAGGGTACCTTACTCAAAGGCTCTGTCGTTCTTCTCCAGACAATACTGTAGAGTCTCATTCCACATTCCTCAACCCAGTCAAGGGTTCCCACGGTTTATTTCTGCCAGCTTCTCAAGGTACACTTTCCACCTTTCTCTGAAAAGAATGTGCAGTTAGGACCCCACACGTTCCATTCCTATTGGAGTCTGTCCCACAAACCAAATGTGTGAAGGAATGAAGTGGGGAGCTGCAGACTTGCTATCTCAAGGCCTGTGTTCCGTGCCTGAGAGCATCACGCTTGCCCTGAATTATTGAGAGTCCTCCCGGTCTCTTCCTCCTCTTGTGTTCTGAAGACCCTGGCAGGCATTAGGTACACATGGTCTTCCTGATAGTAATTTTCTATCCTGTAAGTGCCGGAGCCACGTGCCAGGCCCCTTTCGTTTAAATTAGATAAAATTCTGAGCTGTGCCTTGCAAGTAGTGGAAGTCCGCCGGGGAAATTAAAGGTTCAGGGAGAGTGGGACCCATCATAACAAAGGCATTTGCACGGCCAGTGATTCCATCCAGCCTGTAGCCTCTGTGTTCCTTAGGGCAGGATGAAATAGGAAGCCAGAGAACCTTTGAAAGTAGTGTCAGGAATTTGTTTTAATTGGAAATGGTGATAGCATTATGTGCTAGGAGTGAACTCTGGATGTGCACAGTGGTGCATTTGGCATTACCTACAGAGCCATGGTCCGGGTCTGCCATGACTCAGGATCTCTGCCCCGTTTGTTTCAAGTTCTTTCTGCTCCTGCGTATGTGCTGCTCATGACCCTAAGGCCCGTGTCTCCCTTCCACCACCCCTCCCTCTTTCTTTTCTCCTCTCCTCCATACTATCAGTGGCTCTCTATTCATTCCTACTCTGTATTTAGCATTTAGTATAAATGACGTATTGAAACCTGAGTCAGTCAACTGCTGGTCCTTCAAATCACTCATAATTATGAGACCTAAGAAAATTTACAAAACAGACATCTAGAATGGCCAGAAAAGAAACAAAAATCCACATTTAAATGTCAGTAATACAATCAGTTTTGTTCAGCATCCTTAGGCTCTGCTTATGTTTGAAGCATGTTCTCACTTAACTCTTCCATGCAGGTGTTATCTCCTTCTCACCGATGAGGAGACTGGCGCTCAGAGAAGTTAAGACCCTTGCCCAAGATCACAAAGCTCTAATGAATGGCAAAATCAGAAATATCTCCAATATAAAGGCAGAAATCATGTTGAGTGGCAGAGCCAGGTTTTTAACCCAAGCTTGACTCCAAAGCCCAAGTTATAAGGTGCTGTGTTCCAGTGCCTCTGCCTTAAAAGGGTTATATTGCTGAATATAAAACGCAAGCTTGGTCTTCAACATAGACAGTTTTACCTGAGAGAAGTCCTGTTATTTGTGTGCCCTTATAATAACAGCCATACTGAAATAGCGTCACATTTCTGAAACTGGTTTTACAGTTGTTCAATCTGCCTTTACTTTCTCACTTTTGTGTTTTTAGATGCATCATCCCATTCAGATGAAACCTGCAGATAGTGAAAAGTCAAACGGTAGGTGCTAACCAACTGTCTCATGTAATAGTACCTGCTGCTTTACATTAAAAAGTCAGATGGGGGAGGGATGGAACTCAGTGGTAGAGTACCTGCCTAGAATGAAAAGAATCTGGATTACATCGCCAGGACTTTAAAAAGCAAAAGTCAGATGGCGAAGGGAAGATCCAGCCCCAGCTGCTTTACCTTTGTGGAAGGTGGAGACTACGGTCCCAGTAACCTCCGACCGTGGTCAGCACCCTCTGTCGTCCTATCTCGCTTATCTCTGCTGAGAGACTCTTCCAAGGAATGGTTTCCACGTCTCACTGCTTGGCACTTGCCTGGTGCAAGGTCCTATAGTATCTGGCTCTTGTTTATCTCCCCCAACATAATATATGACTACTTGATGGGTGGGAAGAAAACATAAGCATGGAAGGAATTGTGCATTAAGAATGAGGCTACCTTTTTTTTTTCCTTTCCCATTTGCTCTGTTTTATTGCACTCTTCTTTAAATTGTACCAACACATTTGCATCAGAACTCAGCCTGCTGATTAAGTAACTGTACACTTGCTCCAAAAATATGCATTTGATATGATCCATGATACAACTAGGACTTGCCTTTCCAAGGCATTAGAGGATTGTGAGCCCACATTTGTCTCTTAAGTTTTCACTTCCATTTCTTTAAGCCTTCTTTCCCCGTTTTGTTCTTTTAATTTACTGAAATGTATGTTAAAAAGAACTGCCTGCCACCTTAGACCACAGAGCTCTTCTGTCCCACAAGACTGACATAATCAGCACTGTTTCCTTCCAGCCGGCAGTTTTGCACCTCATTAATTAGTAATCAGGGCAGAAGCCATGCACTTAGAGATCTGCATATCTGCAAATGTAAATTATGATTGGGCTCTAAATCTCACCACAAGGTATTTCTGTGCTAACTGCAGTGCATCCCATTTTCTAGCTTCTTCACAGACTAGAAACTTTTAAAGAAAACTCAGTTGTCGCCTGGTACTCGAGCATTTGGTTTGTCAGGGTTTCCTCTCAGGGAGCAGACTCAGGTGCTTTCCCCACTGCATTCTCAGGCTTGTACTTTCCACAGTGTGATTTCCCTTTTTCCTATATTGCTTTATCACACATGTGCCAGTTAGTGTCACAAGTTCTACTAAGATCTGCCACTTCTTTGTTATAAAGTCAGACCAAGTTGCTTCATTTCAGCAGTTACTCACTGATAACTTATTGTATACCAGCCACATTCGAGGGTCTGAGGTACAGCAGTAAAGTTAAATAAAGGAGAATAAAAGACTGCCAGGGACTATGTCCCTGACCTCATGGAAATTATATTCAGTGTATTGATTTAAACACCTAATCACTTAAACATGGAACTCATTCATAAAATGAACTAGTGTTAATGCCTCACATGGATTGGCTGTTTTGTTTTTTCCCCTTCCTGAGACTCAAGTAAAATGTTTGTAACAGTCTTTAAATGATAGAGCACTTCTGTAAAATGTTACTTATATTATTACTGTGCAGAGCTCTTCCCCTGGTTTTATAGGTTCCTTGTTCATGGCAACCTAAGTGAAAGACCATCTCCTGTGCTCCTTACTTGAGCATTTTTCCCCACAGAGCTGCCTACAGTCTGTGTTACTCCTTAACAGGAGAGAGGAGAGACAAGTCTTGCGTTTGTAGGGTGAATTGTATCAGTGAAGGTCTATTCAGAGATTCTGGCCACGAAGAGATGCTCCCTGTCCTTGGCCTCATAATTCTTTCAACTGAGTCCAGAGAAGAACAGAGGAAGGAAAGTCAGTGGGAAAACATTTGTCTTCAGAGCATTAGGCTGTGTTTATAAAAACGTGATGCATTAGAGAACCGAGTTGGAAATATATCGCTTAAAACATCCAACTAGTTGAAACATAAAGCACTTCCTTCTTCTGCGCTTTCTGCTGCAGGTGTGCACACCCTGGCTTCGGAACCCTTTCCGTAGGTGCCAAGGCATCTTACTCTGCTTTGTCCTCTCACTGTCCAGTGTCTACACTGAGATAATGTTTGCTTTAGTCTAGAACCAAGCACAGCAACAGAATAAAACTACCACATTGTACCTCCAATTTTACATAATCTCAAAGGCCAAGAAGGATTGGGTACTGTTATTACTAGAATAAGAAAGGGCCTGAAAATGCCCCTTTTTAGGAAGCAGAGGGGATAACAGTAACTATTTTGAGAAGTCTAGGTTGACACCTGACTCTGCACTTACTGGCTGTGCCCTTCAGCAAGTTACTTTACGCAGCCTCAACATCGTCAGCTGGAAGAGGGGACTGCAATAAAGTGGCACAGACTCCTTTTGTAGTACCTGCCTTACGTGGTTGGTTCAAGATTACATAAGTTAACATCTGTAAAGAGCTGAACATAGTACCTGGCATGTAGTAAATATTCAGTAGGCTAAGATGTGCTAAATTAACAGCATAACTCACCAATCGAGAGAGATGTTTTGGTACCTTCTAAGTGACAGAGGCCTTCTAATAGGGCTAGTTCTTCCTTTGCTTTGTAGTTAACCTTCATTTTCTGAATTTCTAGCAAAAAGTACAAATGGAAAGCTATCTTTCAAGGGTCTTCTTTGCAGAGGCTCAAATGGAACTTCACCTTGCATAGATAGGAACAGGTTTCATAGTTCTCTTTGGATCTGATTTAAGAATGAGAAGAAATGTATAATTTTCTAAAGCAAGTGGTAAAACCTGCAGCTCTTTCTGATTCCACAGGCATTTTTGACAGGTAAGCACAGTTTCAAAAGCTCAAAGAGCACAGAAATTTCTTTGGCTCAGATGCTCTAAATAGCTCCTATAGCTGTGAAAGAAATATAACGAGCTCTAATTGCACTTTTATTGAGTTTGCTGACATTTATGCATAGCATAAAGGCCTCATCACAGTTAGACAGTTACTATCTTCATTATCTGTGTGTTCAGATTTCTGAAACTTTATATTTGCTGAGCAAGAAAGGACTGCTAATCACAGATCAATTAGCAATGGACAAATGAAGTCCCGAAATGCAAGTACCCTCTGAAGCCCTAACCAATCTAGAGATTCTAAAAAAGAGAACCTCTGTGGTGAGACCAGAATTGTTAGACTGCACATAGGCCAACCCTGCACTTCCAGATTTTATTAAATGGCTCCCTTAACTCTCCGTGCCTTCCTGTCGCCCTTTCAGTTGGCTCTGACTTAAGCTGCATCCTCTGTCACATCTGTGCAAACTCACAGCATTTTATTTCTCTCCCATGTGCTTCTACTGTGCCAGATTCTAAAAGAAAAAACAAAATCCCATTCTAGATAAGCAGTAAAATATCAGGGCTCTTAAGAGCACATTGAAATACCCCACTGTTAACAAAATCCAACCTTTCTGCTATTATTCCACTGCAGAAAATTAACTAGCACAAACATAGTTATGCTTTCCTTCTGGGTACCATCTATATACCATTCTGTATACCATCCAGCTTTTAATCCTCTCTAGAAAGTGCCAGCTGTGCAAGATTTAAAAGCAATTGCTGAAGGTAGTCTAGCAGTGAGTGATCAGAAAAGCACTGAGATTTCCTCTGCTTGTATGCTTGGGTCTTAGTGGAGGGAGCCGGTATTGACTGTTATGTCATGTTTCTTGTTACAAGAAGGGTTGTTTTTGTCAACAGACAGGACATAAAAATTCTTCCTGCTTTAACCTTCCAACCTCACAACTCGCCAAGTGTCCTGAAAGCCTACAATGCAGAAATGCTATGTAAGGCCACTGTCTCTTTTTTCTCAAGACCTCCAAGATCTCCAGTATTCATGCATCAAATTCAAAGCTAACAGAGGCAAGATACCAAAATATTGTTCATGGTAGGTGGAGACCTGCAAAGTCTTCATTAAAAATAGGAATCATGGAGTGTTTCCAAATCCAGTCACTTTCTGATTTACTGGAAGATGAAGAAATAATTTTGAAATTCAAAGTGGAGCGACTCACAGATATGGAGGCAGTAATTAAATGCCATATGTTAGCACTAACACATTGAAAAGTTGTTAATTAATTCAGGCAGTCCCGAATCCAGGTGTGACTTTGACAGATTGTACACCAGGGTGTTAGCACAGACTTACAATTAAGGATATTTTAAAAATGAAGTTTCTATTCCTCTAAGTTAAAAAGTCACCCTTATACTTAAAAGATTAACCCTTTCTTGTGCCATAAAAGAACTTTAAGTGTCCACTAGTGTGGAACTGCTTGGTTCTGTTGAAACTGTTGATGGAGGAGACTGGGTATGCATCTTTTCCCCTAGAGGATGGGAACCTTAACTTTTAATTCCTTTTTTTTTTTAATTCCCCTAAAGAACCTAGCAGACTCCTACCAGTACAGCAGGTTCATTTAAGCAATCTACATTTTCATAGATTAAAAAAAAAAATGAGATACTGCCCATGAATACTCAAGAAAAACTAACCCACAAAGTCATCAAAAAGTGATGAAAAATAGTTAAGTGAATTCAAGATATTTATATTTATTTAGAATGTTTACAAAACTGTTAAGAATTCTTAGAACAAGAATCCTGGGAATGAACTTTATGAATACATTTTCCCCGGACAGTGGGGAACACTCAAAGGAGAAGAAAGCAGGATCTGTGTAGTGACCCTCAGTGTTGCCATTAAAGCAGTCATGATCCAAGTTGAAGGCCATAGAGCGACTCTGGCTTGTTAAAGATTGAGAACGTCCAGCTTCCTTTATGCCTGCACATGTACACAAGCCCACACAGGCACAGGGAGAAATTAGCATTTCAAATAACATGAGGGATATGTTTCCTTTTGTTTCTTTCTTTAGCTAATACTTCTTGTTATTTTTTAAAATGTGAATTATCTTTCTTCTCTCTGCCAGGCTGTTTATCCTTATTGATGGCTGGGAAGTCAGGATTTCCTCCTAAGTGGTATAAATTTTCTTAATAGCCATCTTAGGAAAAAAAAATCTTTTTTTTTAACTTAAGAGCTGTATATTTAATTTACTGTAGCATTACCGTGGAGCTCAAAACCTATGAATTCTTTTAGCTAAACACTATAATTATAGGTTCACCAGTGAAATCAGGGATCAAGTGGGAATTTTTCACTTGCTTTTATTTAAAAGAACTAAAAAAAAACCTCTAAAATCAGGTTTGGTTTGGTTTTGTTTGAGGTAAAATAAATACAACAGGAATTTTATTTTATTCCCATTACGACCCCAGCCACAGTTTCCAGAGATAGGAGTCTTGGAGACGGGAAGGAAGGAGGAGCGATGTCGGCCAGCTAGAAGTCTTTCCCGCCCTCTTCTGCCTCATTTCAGTCAGTTGCATTCATTTCCTGCTCCCTGTCCTTTCAGGCAAAGGCCACCTCCTCACGGGGCCTGCCTGACCCGAAGCTGTGGTCATCCTAATGTTGGAGACCACGGTAAAGAAAGCCCCTGGCCAGGGATTCTGAAACTTAGCTGTGCCATGCCGCCTTTTGACTGCTAGGTTCTTGCCAGTTCAGAGTAGATCCTTGGTACTTCATTATCGAAGGTAGTTTCATTGATCCAGTGCAGAGAACTTTGACTGAAACTCTTTCATCGAAATGCAGGAAGTCAGGTATATATAATCTCCCTCCAAAGATTTAGACCCCATCACAGTGTTGTCTGGTTTACTTCGAGTCTCAGCATAAGCAATGACCATTGACAGCCTGTTGTTTCCCCTGCTTAATGATCCCCTCCTCTACAGATGAAGCAGCCAACAGTGCATGCCAGATTCAGTTCGGGTTGTTTTCCTCTGTGGACCCTGAATACAATCTCTTATTTCTCAATATTATCTACCTGGCCTAGTTAGTACCTTCTTCCCTCCTACCAGTCTACTGGATCCTGATCAGGCTTCTTATCATCCAGCTTCAGCACCTCAAAAGAGCTCTAGAGTTTCTCTGCATTATCTCAGGAGCCTCACTGAGTGTGGAGAGAGAGAATGAGTGGAAAGGATTCTGCACAGCACTCCAGCAGTCCCCACCCCCCAGTGCTTCAGCGGACAGAAGCAGGAGGCTGGGCTGCCTTCTCTGTGGTGTTTGGAAGAGAAAGAAAAAAGAAGAGTGTAGACACTCATCATATCAAAGAAGCCCTAAGTGTCAGACAGTTCTCCAAAGTCACACATCAAGTTAATAGCAGCACTAAATGTAGAACCCAAATCTTACCACCAATGTTACTCTCCCCTTTAAGCCTCCTGTTTCCTCTAAACTGTCATGAAACACAATGGATAGAAAAGAACACTGAGTGAGGAAGTAGGAGTAGCTATGGGCCAGGTTAGACCACATATTTGCCGTATGATCTAGCCAACAAGGCGTGAGGGATCTGCTTCACAGATAGACAAAATGGCTTTCGAGTGTCTTTTTTCCAGTCTAGAATTCTGGGACAGAACATTTAGTTGACTCAGTTCTCCAAAGTTGGACTGTCCCATCTAGTTACCTGGGACTTTTAAAACTTAAATTAATTAAAGTGAAATTACATTCAAAAACCAATTCCTCCATCACATTAGCTCCTTTAAAGCAATCAGCAACCACACATGGCTTTAGCTGTATATTGACGGTATAGACATAGGATTCTTCCAACTCTGGGAAGAGATGCTTGTGGATTAAATGAAAATGAGACATTATCCAAAGAAGGACTAAAAGAAACAGAAATAAAAGCAAAATAGCAACGATAAGATTACAATACAGATTCAGAAAAAAAGTGTATACACAGTGACTTGTGGCAGTCTTTCCCCTAAGCTAAAACTTGTAGTCTCTCGGTCACTTGGCTGTCCTTTTTTTTTAATTCTAAGAAATGGATTAAAATGAAGCAATAGAGAAAAGAAAAAAAGGACTCCTCCCCTTGGGTCTCTATGACATCCTAAAAGAGGCCTCTGTCCTACAAGAAGTATATATTGAAGTACTGTCCTGAAATCAGTCATAACCTTGCCTTGTTCGGCCTAAATGTAGGCCATGTATTCTAAGCATGGAGGTTTTGAGGAAAATCTCCCAGATCATCAGAAGTAAAACTTGCCTAATCTTTCCCCTTGTCAGATCCAAAGTGCAGGTCTTATTATAATGCTCATAATGTATCTCTGTCTCTCAAAGATCCTTCAAGTTGTTGGAATAGTATCACTCCCTCCTGCTCTTATTTTCTCAAGAAAAGCCTGCAGCCATTGGAGGTGATTCTCGAGTAGCACCAGCCAGCTTCTCTGATTAACACTGGCTTCTCCTTCAGTTGTAACCAGCCTGGCTGGTTAAAACCAGGTGCAGAACCTATTAAGGTCCTACTTAGGGACCTAGTTAGCACCTAACAGCCACTGCCTCTGGAGGGAGGACTATACCAGCTCTCCAGAGATGGGACTCTTATCTCCTGTCCTTATCTAGATCAGTGGCGACTAAGCAACTCAAATCCGGGAGAAATGTTTTCTTCCCTTGGATCCTTTGTTTAAAGTTGCATTTACTGTTTTACTACATCTGCTCCTATGGCTTTTTCTCTCCTGATCTTCCTCTTTCCTTGTCACTAAAGTTAAAAGAATATCTACAAAAAGCCCAAATTAAAATGTCTTCAAAAATGTCTTTTGAAATGTTTAGTGATTACATAAGTATTTAGTAATCGTAATAAACACCTGCTGTTAATTTCTGGATGGGAAAAAGCATTTCACAATGTTCTGTGCCCTATGAATTCATCGTATTAGTAAGAAGTGGCTTGAAGAGAGATGAAGTGTCCAGGAAGGGAAGAGGGAGCTACAGGACGGAGCAGGTGGGAGGAAGGCGGCAGACTGGAAATCATTCACACTCACATGGTGGGGCTGGTTTGATGGAGGAACGAAGCACTGATGACAAGATAAAAGATAAATTGCCTTTTGCTCATTCATTATTTTTACCTCCTAGCTGTGGAAGACAGAAAATTGTTCATAGGAATGGTTTCGAAGAAATGTAATGAGAATGATATCAGAGTGATGTTTTCTCCATTTGGCCAGATAGAAGAATGCCGGATTCTCCGGGGACCTGACGGGCTGAGTCGAGGTGAGGGTTCTGTGTATAAAGTCTCTTTCCTGGAGTGCTGATTAGAACTCCGTGTCACAGTCAAGTAGATGTAGGCACCACATGCAGCAGGAGGTTACCCTGAGAAGGGTCCCATGGGGTAAAGTTACCCATCCTGAACTTTCCACCTCAGCTGAAATGATCACCTTTTATTTCTCAGGTTGAGAAGATCTGAGTGCCAACACGTTAGCTCGGGTTATCACTGTCACAGAGGAAGTAGACAGGCTGCCCTATTGCTACATATCCCTTTTCAACCTCAAATTGAAACAGACTTTGGGGGCAAGCCAGAGAGGAGGATGAGACTTGATATTCACTCTTTCACCTTAGTCTCCTGACTTTGTGCCTGTGCCTGAGAGCATCATTGAGGGTATGGTCTTCCCAACAAGCAGTGCAAGCCAAGAAACTTACTGCTCACCTGCAGTGCTGGGCAGATATGGGCTCAGGATGCCTGGGCCTGTCAAAGGTCTTAAAGTTTTGTTTCCAAGAGTGAAGCTTCTGGAGTCCCCAGGCCAGGGAGTCCTTTTTAAGTGACTTTGTCCTGAAAAAGACTGTAGGCTCCTCCTTGCCACCATGGTAGAAACAAAAGCTGTGGCTCAGAGCTGTGATGAGTATTTTTATAAGTGTATATGCAGAATAGTGGGAGATCACCCTTCTGTTCTATTTGTCTTCCCCTTAACAAGTTAGTACATCTCTTTCCTTCAGCCACTCAGGAAGGTGAACCCTGAGAGGTACAGTTAGGTGGCTGCGGTTTCTAGAGGCAGTCCAAAGTAGAAGTGTACACTAGAAATCCATATTTTTGCAACAGGGAGAGACTTTTGCTCTGTTATTAGTGCAGTGACCAGTGAAATTGCCATGGGGCTCATTAGGAATGTTTTCATTCTTATGCTCTGAGCCTGGGCAAGCTCTGGTACCCAGTCCAAATACTGAGGGAGTCAGGCCATAAGTAATCAGGCTCTTATTCTCATCGGTCTCACTGGTTTTACCTAATTTCAGCATCACGTGAGGAAGAACATTTGTTGATTTTTAGATGTAAAGCGTCAGGACGTCAGCTGCTAGAATTACAGGCCCAGAGCACAAACGTTCCACCTCCTGACCCCCAAAGTCTAGAGGAAAATCCAGAGGAGGTGAAACAGCACCCTGCTTTTGATGCCTATATTTCCTTCTGAAGGTGGGGAAAAGGAGGGCCAAATGGAAATCAGTTCATGCATTCTCTAATCCTTGTTATTTCATCCCACTTCAAAGACGTGATTCTCTAAAAGCTGAACAAGCTATTGAGTGTGATTCCCTGATAAACAGCTCCACTACCTGAGGCTCCTCTGCAGCGTATCACCTGTGCTACCTTACTGTCCCCCAAGGCAGGCCATCGTGGTGGTGATCAGCATAACCTCCAAACAGAAGGATAGCAGGAGCACCATCCTAGCCGGTTCAGCCAGCAGACCTCCTCATCACACACGACCACCCAGTTCTACTGTAGTCATTTCATGTCTAACTGTTCTCATCCATCCACTGAGGCAGACACGCCAGCAGACAAAATACCATGGAAAAGGCAGTGAGGCTAGAAGAAAAAAGGTGTAGGAAAGGCACGACAGCATTTTTGTAGTCCCCCTTTCTGCTGCCAGTTTACTAGATCGCTGTTGGCTTCTGTTATTCTCAGGCCCACTTCAGTGTTATCGTATTTTTCTTTTCAGTACCAGGGATCAAACTTGCATCCTCGCAAGGCAGGTGGCAGAACCACTGAGCTAAATTCCCAGCCCTATCATTGTATTTTTCATTCCCCAAGGTATAGAACATGGAGAATAGACCAAAAGGAAGGCCCTTAAATTAAGCATAGTGAAATTTATAGTGGCTTAGAGGTCAGGAACCCCCAAATTCCAATTCTAACATGACATATGACCTCAATTCATCTTTCTATCTCTCTCCCTTAGTTTACCCATTTTAGATGACAGCAGTAAAAAATACCTGCCCTGTTTTTACCACAGGGAGTCATTAATTACTAGTACAGTAGCTTTTTTTCTAAGCTTACCATCTGTATAGGTTAGTAGAGATCTCAAATGGAAAGTGTGAGTACCAGAGTCCTGCTCTCCATCAGGTTGGCTTGGCCCATTGATGGAATGAGTCTTCATCTCACTGTCTGTCTGTCCGGGGCAGACAGGAGGGAGTGGCAACCCTGCCCTGCACTTTGAGCTCCCGGAGCATGTGTTAGTTATTTCTTCACATAAGATTTTAAAACAGCCACAACTTTCATGGGAAAGAGGGGGATTCGCAGTACTTAACAGGAGAAATTTAGCTAATTTGATCTGCCCTTTGGTTGATTAACCAGCACTTGACACCAGAAGCAGCCTGTGTCTGAAAACAAGTTATGGGAGCCCTCTTGTCAATATTTTATGCAAATACTGGTTCAGTGGAAAGAGAAGAATACCCCTCTTCTTTTTTAAACAGAAAAGTAATTCCTGGTGAACCGCTAAGAAGTCCCTATTAGAAAAAAGAAAATACTCATTTATAGCTCTTTTTTCTGAATATAAATAGAGATAGTGGTACGGTTTTCAGTTAGCAGGACCCAGGAACTCCTGGCTATCATGGCCTGCTCCTCAATCTCAGTGCATTTGTTAACGGAACAGTTCTCTTTCGTGCTACTATTCTGCTTTCATTGAAGAATTACTGTTTTCAATCAAATAGTAATAAGTGTCTCCTATTAGTGATGCTGCAGATAAAGGGCGCTCAACATTCTCTGAGTATCTGCTGCTAGCTCAGCTGTTTAGAAAATAAATAAATAAAAATTAAGTGAAACAAAAGCTTGGCTGTTCTGAAAAATGTCTCCCAATACAAAACCAGGACATAAACTAATCAAAAAGAGAGTTTTTAAGTCAAACCATTTGATTATTATGAGGGTTGAGTTGATTGGTTTGTTTTTTTTGCTTCTTTTGTCCAGTTCAACTGTATGAATGAAGACAGAGGAGGCAGTCAGTCTGGCTGGCTGTTTTTCAGTTCCTCCCTAAGAGGCATTTGCCCACATTCTGAGTTTGTTCACTCAGCACCCCCGTTGTATGCACACAATAGGCTATTAGGACCCAGAATTGTACCTGTCATACTCTGCTACCCTTTCAGTTAGAGTCACTGTCTTCAAAAAGTAAACATGGTCTGCAAATTGGCCAGATGGAATATTTTTAAAGTCCCACCACCACTCACCGCCACAGCCCATGTTGCAGGAAAGATACGTGGAAGTTGACAGAACTCTACCTGAACAACACCTCATACCTGCCAAGCACATGAAGCCACTCAGCAATGAGGGTCTCTCTTCCTCACATTGGCCAGTATGCCCATATCTAAGTATGCATTTACCCACTGGAAGCAATGACTCATTCCAGTATCTTTTCTGATTTGGAAAACATAGTTTGTGATGCTTTAGACAGTTTATGATACTCAGGCCATTCTGCAATGGTAACTCTACCTCTGGAGACCCTTTCCATGAACCTTCATGGAGTAAGCAAGCAGGACACCCTGGGTCTACCTACGCAATTCAAACAAGATGTTTACTGTCAAAAGCAAAGGTTGAGGTTTCTAAACCAAATATATTTATTTGACAGTGTCACCTTGGCATGTTGATTTCCTAAAATATACGTGTTCTCACTTACCCATAATCCCACAGGTTAGAATGGGCTGTTTAGGTACAACCCACAGGGTTTTCTGCACCATGGCATTGAGTATCTGTAACTTGGAAACAATGAAGAAGTTTACTTCATTTTTCTTTCCCTCAAAATGTAGTCAAATCTTCACCACCATTTAAGGTAACTTTCTACTTGTTTAAGAATATTCCAGCTCTGTTTATGATGTTCAACATTCTCCTGCCAAAACCCTTAACAAATGAATTGGTAATACTTTCAGTGATGCTGGAGAGCACAGACTGGATTCAGCCATTAAATCCTCATTTGTTTTTGCTATATATAGAGAAGGCTCAATTTTGATAACTTTTTAGCCTTGCCTTCATTACCTACATATCATTCAGTTATGTAGAAACATTTTATCACAGGCATCCTACATTACTGACTGCACTCTGCCATCTTTTCTAAATACTCTCTCCCCATCTCATTAGTGATAAGGTTATGCCAACTGTTATACAGGTCCTAGTCTGCACCCAGCATCAGGTACTATAAAACGAAAGGTGTCTCCATGCCAATATTAAATACACCACCCAGCATTGAGAATGGTGCGTTAGAAGACTAATTTTAATGTCCCAGTCTGATCAGTCTGGCACTACTAAAAGGCTGATAGAAATTTATAAACAAGTATTCCATAGGTTTAAGTCTTCTTCGCTTGCACAAGTTATTTTAAATTACGCTTCTTTCAGTTAAAGTGTAGCAGGCTCCTGCACCTCGTTCATAGAAGTAGCAGAAAAGCAAGAAGCCATGGCATTGTTCAGGCTTTCAGAAGTACCTATATTTTTCCCCCTTTTGGTATGGAGCAGGAATTCATCTACTTCTGTAAAATTCTCTTGCGGCTGAGAGAAAAGGTAGAACATCTGAGTTAAGATACCCTTTCAGTTGAAATGACAAGTGTAATAGATGTGTTCCAAAATCTCTGTGACAGGGCTACGTGCCTTCCTTAGATCCTGTCTGTGGGAGGAAATTACTTTGCAAAACCTTTCCCCAGTCAATCATCCATCTGTTTTAGCAGCAAGAAGGCAACCTCACTAAAGTAAGAGGAACTCAACTCTTTTTCACTTGGTGATCTCTGACATTCTAAAAGTAGAGATAATTAATTGCAAGCTAAATTACAGGTTAACCACATTTACAGATGGCCCTTTTCTTAGTTGCCTTTTGCCATTATGTATTTGGGGAGTCTTAGAAATATACATATATCTGTTATCATACCTAAACCAAAGAAAGAAATGCAGCTTCGTTATTTTAACACTCATATCCTTCCTACGCCCCAGTCTAATTTCTACAGCATTATGGTCAGTTATGAGAGAACAGATTGCTGGGAAAGCACATTCAACAGTCTGCAGTACTTAAGGGCTGACACACTACAAGATCAGAGCTGTGTCCTGTCAAGACTCAGTGAACTCAACCGCATGAAGAAACTTGTTTTTAGTAAAAGAGGGGACTGATTATGACCTAAGTTATTTCTGTCCAATAGAAAGCTTTCTAGCTGGCTTATAAGACAGTCAGCAACTAGTTTCAATAAAAGCTCCTGTGAGTCTGTGTTAGTAAAAAGCTACAGATCGGAGGTCTAATCCTAAAGCGACCACTTGTGTTTGCACTGGTATTAAAAATTAAAATTGGTCCAGAAGATTGCCACATCCTCCTGTTTTAGAGAAATTACAAAGTTTAACAAGCTAGTACTCCAACAAACATTTGGTTCTGCAGCTTAACTTCATACAGAGTGGCATAAAAAGTGAAAGTTTTTAACATGTACTCCCACTTTACAAATGACTAATTCTTTTCTCTTAAGTAACTGAACACAGCACACAGTACGGAACTTGACAGAAGCCCCTAAGGAGACAGCTTGTCTCCCACTGCACCACTGCCAAGAGAATAAAAAGGTTAAAGAAGTCATCAGATTTGTCAGATCATTTTTTTTTGGTTGGGGCATATTGTATAATTAGAAGCACTAGATGAGTTTTTAATTGCAGGTTTCATAGAGGAAAAGGCAATGGTTCGAGTTTATAGAGACTTAATTTTATTGTTCTTTGCTAATACTTTTCTTCTGAGACCTGCTAATTGCTTAATCTAAGTTACTTAGAAAAGTTCTATTTGTATTAAATTTGTGGTAAATGCATAAACTGCCTTACTGATTCTTATTGATATTTTACATATTTTAATGCATTTTAACCTCCATTTGAAAACTGTCAGATTGGCTCATGTTCCTGGATGATACGATTGAAAGCAGAATTAATCCAGACTTCACATGGTTTCAGCTATCTTCATTACATGGTTTGCTTGTGCCTCCATTGAAGTCTAAATGCGAGAAATAGAAAAATAGAATCATTTACTGTTTTTTCTTCTGTATAATGTTGGCAATGATCGTAACATTTCTGAAAAGATATTACTTTGAAACAGATGGTAAATTTGAGACTCTGTCCTTTAAGACCTCAGCTGCAGCATGGAAGCCAGTAGAGGTACTGTCATCTGTCTCACACTCTGTTATACACATCGTCAAGATGCCTTAGAGAAGGCCACTAAATTGCTTTGTCGGTGTAGGGACAGGCAAAGTGTTTAGATAGTAACCCTCATCAGCCACCCTCCAGTGGCTGTATATGAAATGGTTCAGCATTCACGGAGAGCTAGACTTCATTCAGGCTTAAGGCCAGCTTAACCAGGAGGCGAATGTGACATAAAATTCCCATGTACAGAGAGTTTTGTATATCAAAATTACAGCATGATGGAAAAGAAAAAAATGCATTGACTTATTTTCATGACTGGATGTCACTGTGTGTTGGGGATAGTGGGTAGACACTGCTTTCTCTTACTGCTGTTGGATTAAAAGGTGCTAGTGCAGTATTGACTTGATAATCTCACCAGGTACACATGCAGAGCCAAAGAAGATATATTTTATGGCTCACAAATTGATTTACATAAGCCATACAATCTGCTGGTGGTTTGAATGTAGAATATTCTGTTTTGTTTATTGGCCACAGGGACAACAATCTCATGTTGTTGATGCCAGAATTCTGCTTTCATGCATTCACTCTGAAATGACAATAGGTTTCTGCCTCTCGGTGTTTAGATCTGCTTCATTTGGAAATCTTTTAAGTAGTAATAATAATAATGTTTTGAGGAAATTGAGTGGAACACTAAATTATTCTCTGATACCTAAGTTCAAACTGTGCAAGGCTAAAGAAGCTGAAAATCAATGCACTTTTAAAGTCATTAGAGATCATAAGTGAAATAAGTCTGTATTGCTTTAGCTAAGCTTTTAGTGTGCTATGGTATTATTATAAAATCAGCCTGAATCTGCATTAATTTCATAGTCTTTTTCTCCAAGAAGCCCAAGGGTGCATGAGGAATAAAATGTAAATTTCTAAAGGCAGTGTTTTTCTTAGTGCAAAGGGCAATGAGCCGTGTAGTTGGAGCCGTGACCTGCACCATGACCAGTGCTGCTACGAGAAGCAAGAACAGGCTCTACAGATTCTGGTTATTTTACAGCACACAAAAAGTAAACATGGAAAGCTTTCAGGTCTCACACAGGAAAATGTACATTGTGTCATGTTTGTTATAGTACCTCATACATTTCAGAAAGTCACATTTATAAAAAGTCATGCAGATTTGTATGCACACAAATCCAATGCAAATTTTTAAATTTTATTTTGTGTGTTGTTAAATATTCTCAGCGTAATAAAGCATTAGTTTTTATTAAAAATGACTGTTTAATAGTTTGTAGTGGATTTGGTATACTTGTTTACATTTGAATAGCATTTGAATTTAAACATACAGGTTTTTTTTTTTAACTACCCTAAAGGAATTATATGTACTTACTTGCTGGCATTTTGAACTGCTGAAATCTGTTAATTTGTCATTAGTTTTAAAACTTTCTTATTTACTCTTTAAAAATTAACAGTAAAATGTGACAAATACCAAGCCCTGATGTGTGGGCACCCTCAGTGTGAAGATCGTCAGCCTAGGAGAAAATGGGAAAAGCAACTTTTTATTTAGAAAATGAAAACTAGATCTTGCAAATTTCAAACCCTGTGGCTAACAGGTATTCAGCTTCTTCCCCTAGTTTCCATTTTTAAAATAAACTAAAAAATAAATATTTCTGCTTTGGTCAGATTAGCAAGTCAGCACTGAATAAAAAGCAAAGTAAGATAAAACCAAAGAGAGAAGTTGTTTATTTTTATGTACTACTGAGAACAGTGTCGTCTTGTGGCAGTTCTCGTAGACTGTGTTGGTTTAACAAGCGTCCAACCCTTTTGTCTTGTTGTTTTTTGTCTTTCCTGCTCCCTGTCCCCTTGTTTCCCACAGGCTGTGCGTTTGTCACATTTTCTACAAGGGCAATGGCACAGAATGCAATCAAAGCCATGCATCAGTCTCAGACCATGGAGGTACTGTATCATCTGCCCTTTCTTTGTTTTCGTTGTGCAAATGATGGGGAATGGTAAAGCAGTTCTCTCCTGTGTGGATTGTTCACATGACAATCACAGATTTAAACTTTCAACATCTCACTTTTCATCCATCCATTCATTCATATTCATCTTCTCTCTGTCTCTCTCCCCCTCTCTTCCTCCCTTCCTCTTCCCACCTCTTTCTCTGCATTTTCCCCTGATGACTTGAAATGCATTTAGTAAAACCTTCCACGTGCGCTGCAACTATCTTTTGAGCCTTTTATTGGAGCGGCACGGGTCCTACATGACAGTCGTAAGACACTTGAAGTAAAGTGTCATTCTGGACCTAAACAATTAAATACATTCCCCACTGTAGGGTTGGTATGGATTAAACAATAACAGACCGCACCCCAAATTGCTGCTTGCCCTGTAATAAGTCACAAGGTTCTTTTTTTAATACAGGGTCAAGTTACTGTTAATACAGTCAAACAGAACTCTGTTTTTTGCATCTCAAAAATGTTGGAGAAAGTTAATACTTCTCCGACTTAACAGTTAAATGCTACTTTATGAGAGTCTCCTGAAAAAGTAGATTTGTCACCTTACTTGCAAATCAGCAACAGCAAAGAAACAAAGGCTCAAATTTGGTCTCCTAATGAAAGATAGTGATTTAGGGAAGAGCAATACAGTGGTGTGGGTGTACACCTACAAATATAGGTAGATGGCTCTACTTTTAGTCTGTGATTTGGGTCTTGGCCTTTCAGAATTTTGCACAAAAGCATTCCAAGAGTGATATGCCGTTATTTATTCTGTATTGTCTGAAAGAATCATTTGGGAGTGCATGTTCTGCTGTATTATGTACATTGTATCTTTGTGTATGGGTGATCTTCTCTGGAGGTGGTGGCCTTGTGGTGTTACCTGAAGCTGTGTTTTCATATTTTGAAAAACAAAAGCTATTTTCAGCTTTATTTAACACGCAAAAGTTATTGTTTGAGCTTCTTTTGCCCCTGTTTTTGGAGGTTTTATTTTTTTGTTTGTTTGTTTTTTGCAATGCTGCCTCTCCCAAAGCATGCTGGGAGCTAAGTGATCATTATGCGAGATGTTTACTGGGCAACTTCCTTATAATGACTCAAAAGGTGGGTGAAAAGGGGGGAGGAGTGTGCATGGCATTGTCATTAAGTGTTTAGTGTACTTTTCTGAGTTGTGATATCAGCATTGCAAAGCCTACTGTCTTTTTTGAATATTTATTTTGACTTTGATATTCCTAACATACCTTATATAATCGATGTGTTTTCCTTTCAGTGCAATGCATTTTTAAAGATACTCCCTCCCCACTTCCCACCTGAAGACAAACTCTCAGGTGAAAATCGGCCATGATAGGAAATAATTAGCAGGAATTGAAATATCTAGAAACACAGTCTTGTATAACATTCACTCATGTGATAATGTTTTGGTTTCCCCTTTTTCTTAGGCTGCTCCATTTTTGTGGATTTCCAGCTAATCTTCAGCGGAGACTAAAATCTAAGAACTGTTGGGGGGCTATCTGTATTTGTCTTCCATATATGCTTTTATTCTTAATTTTTTAATTTCTTTAATTAATTGAGGGCTTCATACCCAAATTGGTCTCTCTTTAGGTAATTTTTAATCTAAATTCTTTCAACTATTAGAAACATCCCTTCATTCAGAGCACCCCCTCCCAGTGAGGCCTCCCAGAATGCTGATGGAATCTGATTCTCCTGTTTCCACAGGAGAATTGAGATCATCAGGCAGAACTGGGCATAAACCAAAACCAAGAAACTTAAGGCTTTCCCAATAGACAGATCTGTTCTGGGGTTTGGAGAGTATTTATTTTTAAGAAATCATCGATCCTTTATTCGTATCTCTAGTATAAGAAAATCAAGTCTGGTATACTTGTTTTTAAAACTAGACGTCCATACTTAAAGGAGCCCCAGACACTAATAAAAAAAGTAGCATTTAAATAAAATGATGCAGTTACATTATTAATTGTACAACTGAAGTTGTTTGCTTAGTTTTTTAAAACTAATTCTATTACTTTCAAGACTCTAGCATCTTCAACCAAGCTTTATTCTCCAATTTAAAATGATTTGAATATTAAAAGAATAAAGTCTTCAGTTTTATAGGGGACCTTCTGTTTCTCCACTTTTCTCTACCTTATTCCCACCCATTTTCTCTATCATGATTTAAACAAGTCATTTTTAAAGCCATAATCATTGGTCGACTTTCTGCTTTTGTATCTTTTTTTTTAGTATTTAAGGAGGAAAAAAATAGCAAATGTACTATTAGGAGGAGATGCTATCGTTGTTAGGTAATACTTTTGATGTAACAATAACATCTCTTTCTCGTGACCAACCCCTTCGCTATATAATTTCCATCTTCAGAGTATCTTGCTCTTGTTAAAGTAATGGAGTGCTGAAATACAGAGTAAAGAAAAATGAATTACAGGGGTTTTTTTAACAGTAGAAACATTCCTTTTATGCACTTGACTGACATTTAACATTCTCTGCCATGACTCTGCCTACCAGAGTGAAAGACTCAGGCTGGAAATTCAACACTGAAGTAGTCATCTCACTTTCTTCACTTTTTAAAAAAATTACAGACAAGATGATAGCATGTATTCGTAGGTACCTCCCCAATAAAAACTCAAGGTAGTAAAGAAAAATATACAAGTTTGTTTTCTAGGAGAAAGAAAAATGACCCAAAGGGAATGGAAGAAAATAGGCTGGTTAAACGGGAATATAACACTTCTGAGAGGAGAGAAGAGGGGTCTGTTATCATGCTGAGTTGCAGTATAAGTTTTTATTTAATCATTGGGTAGAATGACTTCTTTTTACCTCAGCAAAACGAAACAGCTTGAATGGTGACAGAATGCACAGGCCAGCCACCCTGGGAAGGAACATTACCAAGTAGCAGATGTTTGACATGTGCTAGGAAGGGATTGCGCTTGAGAAACTAGAATGTGTCTCCCTCGAAGATGAATTCATCCTATTCTATGACTTTTGGCTTTTTCTCTCTCACTACCCGTACTACTTGCCTCTTAAAGGAAATTAAAACTGAAAGCAGCTAATGGTAAGATTCATCAGGGAAAGAAACTAAGTAGAATTCTCCTTCTACCATTTAAGATATACTGTATCTCCTTTGACTACACTATACTTCTGGTTCCTTTAGTTTGCAGTAGTTCTGAGGATTTTGGAAGGAGTTAGATGTGCCATAGAAGGAAGAAGAAAGATCTTCCTGAAAACATGAACTATTATTTTGATTAGTACCTATATTTTTTATCACCTTCCTTCATCCACATTCCTAAAATGAAACACACTTCTCCCTATTACTATTGAATCAGTACGATTTTCACAGTTCTCAGGTTCAAAATTACTTAACTAAAAATTGGAAATAGTAAAAACAATGAATGAATGAATAATACTGGCATTCTAATTTCTCCTCTGACAAAGACGAGGCTGTCTTTAAGACTTGCCAGCCATGAGACCTAAATAAAAATAAGGTCTTTCATCTCAAAGGAGCCCTGGAAGGTTGAAGGAAGACCCATAAGACAGCACGATAGCTAGTTTGATAATCAGAGTAAGAAGCAAATGGCTAGACCAAGCACCAGAGCCCCCACCCCCCAAAACAAGCCAATGATAGATCTGGACTTTCCTGTTGATGATACTACTCTAAGAAGAAGGAATATCAAACCATTCTTAAATCATTCCAGACCATTCCATGCGCTGCAAGATAGTTAAGAGATCCAGCGCTGACTGTCTTGAGAAGATTCAACCAGGCTGTAACTTCCTCTTCGCTTTCCAATATGTCTGACCACAGGGCTGCTCTTCACCTATCGTGGTGAAGTTCGCCGATACTCAGAAGGACAAAGAGCAAAGGCGCCTCCAACAGCAGCTTGCACAGCAGATGCAACAGCTCAACACTGCCACCTGGGGGAACCTGACGGGGCTGGGTGGACTTACCCCACAGTACCTGGCGGTAAGTGCTGGAGAAAACCCTGCCAGGTGGTGCCCCTGAAACTGGAAAGCTACTTTGTCCCTGTGTGTACTAATGAACTCATTTCCTATACATTTTGACTCACAAATTAATGAAATCAGTTTATAAGTAGAATATTTTTGCAAGTTAAGTGATTAGCCTAAGAATATGATGGATTTAATTCTGAAGCAACATGAACAGAATTTCACAGGCTAAACTTCAAACCAGTGTCCTGAGACATCCTAAAGCCCTCTGTTAGAAAAGACACCACATGCTTGAGAGCTGAATTTCTAATAGTGAGAGAGCTGGCTGAGAACTTACTGGCTGGCAGATCAGTATGTGTCCTGTCTGGGTGTCAGCTAAAAATCTCCTGAACTACAGGGGACTGCAATGTTGATTATGCCCAAAGCAGGCTGTGAAGAGTTAACCCCACAATTGGCTCGTTTATAGAAGTGAATCTAGCCAAGGCCTACATGCAGAGATCAGAGTAACTCGCACCCAAATTCTGTTCCCACAACTAAAACCTTCTAACCAGGACAGTGTTATGATTACAACCATAGACTTCATCCATTCTGTTTCTAATTTGTCTCACCCTTCATGAGCTTTGCTTACAATAATTTCCATAGAAACCATACAACTGCATATCTTGCATGTAGCTCACCTTTACCACAACTGATTACCAATAAAAGTCAGTGGCATGGACTGGCCAGGGCCTTCATCAGTTGTACCAGAATTGGTCATCCTGGCACCCCGCTTTCTGTCTTTTAGTTATCTTTCTCCCCGCCTCAAGCCTGCATTGTGTCTGGGCAAGAAACTGGAACCTAACCACAGGGGTCTCCAGTAATGAACTTTCTGTGATCCTGGGTTTTCCCAATGGGATTGTGTTGATGAAATAAAATATTTCTTTCTTCACCTATCTGAAATCCAAGAAATTAGGTCCTATTTTAGGCCAGACTCAATTCTCTGAACCATCCCTTACATTTTATAGCTTTTAAGCCTTACATTCTTGTGTTTCCTTTGTATTACCCTTTTCAGTTTGCCAGCTACACTCAAATATAATGGCCAGAACTTGAGATAGTTCCCCTGTAAGATTTACAGTAGCCAACATTAGAAAATATTGTCCTGTAAGATATAAAAGGACAGAGTAGGGACCCCTAGTGTGGACTTTAGAGCATCATACTGTAGCTTCAGAGTAGCATTTGTAGTCTGATGTGGAGTGGAAAGCAAATGAATACTCATTTTATTTTTACCTGAAATACCGCTAAACATGCTTTTCTACCCCCTTTTTCTGCTTTCGTACCTAAATGCTGGACTTCAAATTCATTGGTGTTTCACGGTGTGAGTTTAGGCCTTTTATTCCAGCTCAGGGGCAGGGGCAAACTTGAGCACACGAGTCGTCTTAATTCTGTCATTTTACATTTTAACTGCCCCTCTCTGGATTATATCATCCACTAGCTTCAGTTTGTAGCAGAAATTGTACGGTTCTGCAAAACGTCCTCCCTGCTGTCTTGAAAAGGAGGAATTGTCCTGCTTGTGAGGAGGGAGAAGAGGGAGGTGAGATGAGAAGAGGGAGACTGAGATCAAGTAACTGCCTGTGTTCGCACAGCTGCCAGTGACCGATGGAGTTTCAGCTGTGCATTTTCCTGCCCTGTTGTTCCTTAGGGGCTCTGAGAGCCAGCTCGTGTTTCCTCTTCTGTCCCTCCCACCCTCAGAGCCCAGGACAACGGCGGTTATGAGAAACATGATTTATTTCTACAGTAGTGAATTCACTTTATTCCTCATAAGCACATAATGTCATAACGCTATGTCATTTGGAATCCATGTATACTTCATACTTCCCCCTGTACAAACTATATCTGTATTGATTTATCTCACCAAAAAGAGAATGTTTATACCTCTAGTCAAACGCTTAGTTTAGCATTTAATGTAACCTCACGTTCAGCAAGGGCAGGGGCACTTCTGAACAGGTGCCTTGTGCCCTTACCTTGTAGCACCCACTGATTCTGTGTGGCAGTAAAAATATGTTTAGAGCTGTAGGGGAAAATGTATACTTTTTCACAGGCTTTTCACAAGCATATTTCTTTTTTCAAAGGCTGACATACTAATGATGTATAGGCTCAAACATATATAGCACCAGATAATTCAAAATTTTAACAAATAGTATAATTTTCTCTGCCAGTGACGATGCATTTATGTAATTATTGTGGTAATCTTTATGTTGGCTTAAGAATGAATCTATGCACTTCTAATAAAGAATGAAAAGGGCTAGGGATTTAGCTCAGTGGTCCTGTGCCTTCCTCACAGGCACAAAGTCCTGAGTTCAGCACAAAGTCCTGAGTTCAATCCCCAGCACAAAAAAAAAAAAAAAAAAAAAAAGCCCAGCTGTGAA